TGTTTGAAAGAGGAGCTCCACCTATCAAAGTTTTTACGGAATAAATCTAAAATCAAATATTGAAAATCTTGCAAAAGATACACGAATTTTCGATGAGCACAAAGTAAAACCTAGAAATTTATGGCAACCTTTTACAGGCAATGCAAAAATCAAAAAATCACTTTATCAAGACTGAAAATAAAAAAAGTTAAATTTTAACACGGGTCGTTAATCTGCAACATATCGAAAAAAGAGATTTTTAGATACAACAAAAAGTAATGAAGAAAAATTATTGGATGAGACCTGTACACTCTATTGCAATTAACTATGGCGTATTTGTTTTCCGGCAGGGATTAGTTCATGCCTAACATGAAAAACTTAAATATAATAATATAAATTGAAAAAAAGTTTACAAGTTCCCCGCACACGCCATATAAGGTTCAAAGGGTTAGATTTTGCTCCAGTAACAACTCAATTATGGCAAATGAGCTTCCTTCAACCAATTTGGAACAATTTCTAAGACGATTTAAATCTCCGCTTACGCAAAATGGCAATGTTTAAACCCCCATAGTTTTACGAAAAAATATGAGGCAAAATATTTTTGTTCCCGTTTTCGTAACTAAAGTAACGGAATACTTGTGCTCGGAGTGGGTTTTTTTCTTCAAAAAATTTTTGACTTTTAACTAGCCATTTTCGACAGGACTTTTTTCAATCATTCAAATGGCATTTTGGGACAATTAACTCGCAATACATTTCGCTATTAATGCTTAAGTGGAGATTTAGTCCGTCTTAGAAATCGTTCAAAATTGGTTGAAGGAAGCTTGTTTGTCATAATCATTTGTTATTATGAGCAAAATGTATCATTTTGTACTATATATGGCGTAGGGGTGGATGGTTTTCGCAAAAATCTCAAATTGAAAAAATATTTAATTTTTTTACAATCAATTTTTCATGTTATTACTGCCCCATAGACCTTAAAAGGCAGTCGAAACACTCAGCCCCCCCCCCCCCCCTGATACGAACAATTTTGCTTAAAGTTTAAGTTCAGGACGACCATATCTTTTGAATGATATACAAAAAACTGAGTCAAAAATGACCTGATAAAAAGTCGAAAATTGTCTGAAGAAAAAAAAACCACCCCGATCACAAATATACCGTTACTTTCGTTCGAAAGTCGGAACAAAAAAGGTATACGTTCAATTTAACAAGGGTCAAAATATGACAATTCAAAAACTGCTAATTAAACCGCATACAACATTTGAATGCAACATGTGTACATATTAAAAGTTAGAAAATGACGGTTCGTTGACAGTTCAGCCAAGTCGACAATGAGATGCTGGATCGGAACGAAAACCAAAGTGGTCCAGCTTCAACATCAGATCGGACAGAATCAGTTATAAACTTTATGGTTTGAAAGTACAACAGGTTCTCACCTGATAGAACTAATCACCGAGACGAAATTACATTGGAATTCAAAAAAACTAGGTTCCATTCTTACTTTTTATGTGGTTATCTTTACTATCTATTTTTAAAGTATAGTGGTTTATTTGAAGAGTCAATTGAAAGGAAGCGATTTTATTACTGACGAAGAACCGATTTTGACAAAAAGAAACCAAGAACAACCAGCTGACAAAAAACAACAAAAAAAGAAAATTAGCTCTAAAAACAAATACGAAAAATACAAAGTCGAGACAAAACGACACAAAACTGCCACACGGGTATGATGCGTCCTCGTAATGTAATGTATCAAGTATGCTATAATGCTCTTTCTGTTAGATCATATGGAAGAGGTTATCTATTCAAAACAATTTTCAATTCACAATCAAGTAATTAATAAGTTTGGTTTGGATGACGATATCAAAAATAGTCTTGATATACAATGAAAAAGAGTTTTAATACGAAATCTTTTCATTGATAGCTGAAGCTTGGTTTCAAATCTTTGTCGCTGCTCAACGGCCATTAGGTTGAGTTCAAATTTAAAAATTCAGCTTGTTTTTTGGAAATTTTTCTGTGGTTGGAGCCTTTTAGTCTATTTCAGCAACATATCTCATAAGCCCTAATATTGAGATCAGGGTCGAATCTAGGATTTTCTCGATGGGGGGGGGGGGGATTTTCAATTGTCGACCTTATGAAAAAACAGGCCGACAAAGGCGTTTTTAGGCATTTTTTGGAAAATTTTGTCCAAAAATCGAGTTTTTCGGCGCGCGCTCCCCCCTCAAAATTAGTATATATTGGAGCCAACGGCGCCTATAGAAAAATTTGATGGTCCGTCACCAAAAACGGATATCTCAAAATAGTACAAAAGGGGAACCCTTTGGATCGGCAGGGGGTCGAATCCTTGTAGAGGGGTGAGGGGGCGTTCCCCCAATCGCCCCCCCCCCCTAAATCCGCCTCTGATTGAGATGATCACTATCTCGACTTCAAGGAAAATGGAACTGGCTTTATGAAAGAACATTTATATCATATGGCATTAATGACGATATAAAATTGATCTATAATTCGAGCCAGCCTCGAATATGCAATGGTTTTTTTGTTTTCTAATCTGTAGCTCCAAAATGACTTTGCCTTTTTTTAAATAAAAACTGTCCCGAAGATGGAAATAACACCTTTCAGAATTAACTTTTCTTTTCGTTTTTCAGCGATACAGAATATTCTGAGTTTGTGGATCAATCGTACAATGATGAGCTGATGGGATATGACTATGAATATTTTGACTTCGACTCAGGGCTTATGCCGAAATTCATATGAAGAGTTCACTAGTAACCGAATAATCAGCACAACCGTAGAACAACTTTGACTTTTTCCTAAATGAGTTTTTGATTTTCAAAATGTTCAGTGTTCAAGTTTCAATTGTTTCAACTGCTTAATGTCTCAAAAATGATATGTACTAATCTTGTTAATGATCTTGCTGGTGCTAATGTAATTTTTCGTAATTTGTCGAGAAAGAACATTAATTCGAATTTGAGTTTTTAGATTATCCGCACACTAAAATAAAATCATGAAACACGTTAGGCTAGACAAAATAACGGTTTCTGTTTTAAATGAAGCTGTAAGTGATAGTGGTTGACGATCACTTCCCTCTCCACCCCCAAAATACTTCAAAAAAACTTAAAAAAAACACTCGCTTTTTGTTTTATTACTAAATTGAACGATTTTGTAAAATTTGCTCTAATCTAACTTTTTCATAGGATGAATTGATTGGTTAAACTGCATCTTTGCACCTTCAATAGTTACTGATTAGATTTTGAAGACTGAGTTACATAATATGATTTGATGATTCGTTTTAAAGCTAACACCCGAGCTGAGCAGCTCCACTCATGGTTGCCAAAAAAACTTGATTCATGTCTGTTTCTCGGTGTTGCCTGAGGCGGTCGAAGAAAGTATTAATTAATATGAAATCTAAAATGAAGCAGAGTCTGGTCATTTGTCGAATAGTGTCTTATGTGTCAAACAAACTCCAATCGTGTCAAACAAACATTGGTCAACCGTTCGAAACCATAAGTTGACGTGATCTTATCGTCAGTAAAACGCAGTCTAATTGACATGGTCGATTTTTTTTATAAAATATTTAAATATTCAAAAAAATTATTAGGAATTTCTAAAATTAGAAGAGGTGTTTGTAGTGTTGCATTGAGAATCTCCTATTTTAGACAAATTTTTTGCAGTAAAATAATACTTTTCAGAGAGGTCCTGAAAAACTTACATTAGTAAGAACAACAAAGATTACAAAATTTTTTGCACGCATCATTGTAGGTTCAATAACTGAAAAAAAAAAGAAACCAAGAAATAAACTACTCTTATCTTAGCAATACCCAGGACGACCAAAAAAGCTTGTCATACAATTTTTATTCAAGGAAAAAAGCTTATCATACAGTTTTGTATAATTCCATAAATACCAAAAACTGTAAAAACTGTATAATACCAAAAATATATATAGGCGCGGAACTAGGAAATTCTTGAGGGGGTGGCGGATTTTGAAAAACATTTTGAAAAACATGTCGACCTTTTTTTTAAATCGACCAAATTGATTTTGTGAGCTCTCAGAAACCACTATAAAAACCCAAATTTGTCCAAATTTTCTGCGCCGGAGGCAAATTTTTGAAAAAAAAGGCCAAAAAAAGGCGGTTTTAGGCATTTTTGGTAAATTTTGACCAAAAAATCACGTTTTTTTCCCTCCTCAAGATTCGTATATAGTTTCTCATCATTAAAATATCACTGAAGTGGTTGATTTATATATATAAGTAGATATATATAAGCTTCGAAAAATATACTCTGTTCTGGTTTCGTC